CCGCTTTGGACGCGACGGACGCTGAGGTCTGGGCCAATCAGAGAGCAAGGAGTGGCAGCGGGCTGGACCAATGAGAGGCCGAGGAGGGATAGAGAGAGAGGTATCACTCCGCGCCTATTTTATGATACAGTGAACCCCATTTCCACCCCAAAACATTTATATATATAAAATATATATCTATATTTTAGATGTTTTTTTGTTTCTTTCTTTCTTTTACCTCTCTTTTATTTTACTATATGCTGATTGGATCGATTTATTGATCAGTATGCCTAGCATCCATATCCATTGATGATTCCTGTTTGTTACTTGAAGAAACTCAATAAAGTTACAAAAAAACAAAACAAAAACAAAACTATATTGTCCGAATGTAAAATGTTTTAATACATATTTATGTTGTTAATTTCTTGCCTAGAACTTTTTACGATGAACAAAAACTAAGTTAAGTAAAAATGCAACAAGAAAACAAAAGTTCAGTATTGTTGTTTACAGGGTTTTTACATGTTATACAGACAAATAAACAACATCCTGCTGAACTGTCCTTAAACTAAAGACTCACTGTGACTGCAGACTTCCCTTTGAACGGTTTATTTAATATATTTTTATGTGTTAATGACCTTTGAAAATGCCTAAGAAGTACCAGTAATATCTACCTGCAGCTTAAAAGTGTCATTATAGAAAAAAACAAACAACATTTCATCTTAAATATTATCAACAATTTCAACAAATGATCATTTTCACCTGTAAACGTCAAATATGCAAAACGAATTTCATCAGCACTGAAAATGTTTTGAGACGTTTAAAGAGAAAACAATCTGTTTAATTCAACTGGCTCTCATTTTAAAGTAGTTTGACCTAAAACTGGATGTGTTTGTGATCAATAATCTCCTCCTCCGCTACAGAAGAGTGGAGGAAACAGATGTTGGTTGGCTTTGGTGTCAGGATGAGAAATTGCCACAGTTATAGCTTTGGAGGTCCAAACCACTTTTGTAGATTCAGACTCCCTCTTGTTCTCTAAAAAGCGAATATAGTCAATAAAATGGTGACAGAGTTTGGTATTTTTGAAATTAACCAACCATGTTCATGGCTAAACAAACAGATTTTCCAGGCAGGAGTTCAGCAGTTTTAGTCACATTAACCAGTAGCAGAAATTAATTTAGTCATATAAGCTGTCAGTGTTTTTAGATGATCTAAATCAGGAATTTAACAACCATAAAATGCCCCAAGTATTTATGAAAGTCTACAAATAAAACAATAAAAACTGTCATCCTGAATTCAAACCTGTTGAGTGTCTCATTTTGCCTGATTGACGTCTATCTGTGCACATCTTTAATGCGTCGTCTGCACTAAACATCTTTGGGTTCAGTCCTCTTGTAGTTCTCAGTTTCAACCAACAGAGAGCGCCGTGCACACACGCCTAAAGCACAGTGAGCTGTGATACTGTAATGTCAGAAAGGTTGTTGCCAATGGTGACGCGTCTGCTGACATTTGATTGGTTTGGGGTCAATAGCCTTCGACCAGCTGCACGCCACACACATCTGTGCAAACAGATGTGTGTGAGTGTGTGAAAAACACACTATAGATTGTATAAAACACAAGAGTTGTTACATTGATCAATAATGTGAATCTTTAATTACATCACGACGTCAAACACTGCACAGGGAGATGAAACAATGCAGTGATGTCGTCCCTTAAAAGAACAAAATGAACAGTAATTACACAGATCAAGTGTCCAGTCAAATGTTTAAATCTTCTTTAATCTCTTTTTCAAAGTGGCACTATGATAGACTGCAAGTAACCATGGCAACAGTGCTATAAATGCTTAGACAGCTAATTCTTGATACCTAAAATAAGTTTTAAATGGATGGTCATTTCATTTCTATCGCAATACAAACACAGTAAATGAATGTGTCTTTTATCTGGAAGCTGATCCTGAATTATCTCTCAGTTATTATCCACTGATTTCTGCTGGCTCTCATCCCCAAAGGTTGATACCTCACCTGTTCGTCTCTCCCTGTCAGTGCAGCCGTCATTCACCGTCGCCAGTGTCAAGACCCCATCAATGGTTCCTTGATGAAAAAGTGCGAAAGAATGATTTCCAGTCCATAAATCAATCTAATTGAAAGGTGGAGAGTCAGTCGAGACTAGTGGCTGCTGGGAGAAAGTCGCACTGGAATAAAATCCCTAAAACAGATTTTATTTTTATTTTCATAAAATATGATTTACAGATCTGGATACATTTATATTTACTATATACTATTTACTATAAACTTGCCATTGGATACAGGGTCCTTTATGTCCAGTGTCAGTCTATATAAAGGCATCATACTAATAATTTATAGCCTTAAATTATTAACTGTTAATATCAGAATCTGAAATACTTTATTGATCCCTGGGGGGAGATTTGTTACAGTAGCTAGAAATAATAATAATATAACAATATCTAACACAATATATATATATATATAGAATAGAATGTATATATAGGTAAATATTAAGTAGTAATATATAAGTATAAATTAAATGGAAATAGAAATATAATAAGAGCCAAAATATATAACAGCTATCAACAACATTTTACACAAATTTCACAACTTTTTAGCCGATAAATTGGATAAAAAACAAGATAAAGCCACTTACTTGCCATAAATACCAGTGTGTACATGTAATTCCCAGTAAAAAAGGAGAAAGTCGTTATAAGTTTAAGGATTTTTTTTAACTAATGGTTTTCATTTTCAGGGGTACTGCAGCCCCTTCGCTTCCTACAGTTTCAGCGCCAGTGGGTCGATTTCAAAGTCTCTCACACTGATAAAGCACATTGTGTCTTTCCTTATTGAGGTGCATTTACACGTCACTTAATCACTTCTTAAATAGTCCAACTCCTCATATAAAGGGGTCTGTAAAAGCCCAAAGATATGTAAGGATTTGTGAACCACAGAGGACCTCAGTATGTTCCCTGAGGTACTCCGTCACACAGTCCTGAACTCTCCTGCAGTACGTTCACAGATTATTCTCGGCAACGCGGCAACATATGTGTTTGTCTGCACATGCATAAAATAGAGTATCCTGTGATTCTGTGTGTTTGAATGTGTGTGTGTGAGTGTGAGGGATTGAGAGAGAGAGAGAGAGAGAGAGAGAGAGAGAGAGAGAGAGAGAGAGAAAAAGCAGTGTGTTACACAGTAAGAAGAGAGTGTCTCTCAGTAGTTCAATAATAGTCCAGTTTTTCTGAGAGGTGCTTCAGTATACTGCTGCCTGCCAAAAGGACAGCCAGCTTCTCATTCCACAGCGTGCACACACACACACACACACACACACACACACACACACACACACACACACACACACACACACACACACACACACACACACACACACACATTCATACACAGATCACTGTGTGTCTCATAGCAGAACTTGACACTGAGTTGGTGGAGGGGAGGTTGATGTGGAGAGAGAGAAAGAGAGAAAGAGAGAAAGAGAGAGAGGGAGAGATGAAAGCCGGTTTTTATTCAGCAGTGCAGCCCACACAACGGGCAGGAGAGGGCTTTGTTAAAAAACTCTCATCTCTATATCTCTCTCTCTGCCTTGCTCTCCTTTTCAGCTGTTCCTTGAATAAAATAATAATACATTCAGATTATATAGCAGGTTGTTGAAAAGCTCTCGCTCTCTCTCGCTCTCAACACATAGCCGGTTTTTAAAAAAGAGGCAGCTTTTAACAGTTTAAACTCAAACGCATGTACACAAACACTAAAACTGAGACAATGACATCGACCTCACCACTAAAAGCACAGCAGACGAGTGAAAGAAGAGAAGAATCAGAGGCTTTTGTGTTGGAACAAAACATTTTTTCATTAAAAACTTTGCATTGAAAATCTACCTTTTATTTTTTTACATCTCGCTCCAAAAAAGCCTGATCATCAATAATGTATCACACATTTTCTTCCATAAAATAAAAGTATTTTCCCCTCCACTAAGCGCCACCGCTCTCAGTTGCTGTTGCTACGCCCGTCAGGCTTTCTGCTCAAACACACGTATTCATGCAGCCAAGTTTTACCATTTCTGTAGAAGGAATGCAAATGAATGTGTGTTTCCATCCACTGCTGTTATACAAATATCAGATGCATCAAGATAAACATTTGGTGGTGCTGAATCTTCAGTCTAGCGCCACTGAACCATTGCGGTTGTATAAAATGTGACATTTATATTCGTATTAATTACAGTTTCATTATCGCTTATCAACTTTTCCACCTCAGCCAAGCCTAAAAAGGTTTTTTGGAAGTGCAACCGCTTCAAATTCATAGTCGTTTTTAAACAATGGTTCTTCCATTTCACAGAGAAGCAGATTTTGGGCAGTTTAACTAATTATGTAACTAATTACTAATACATTTCAGTAATAATATTACAGTTACCTCCCCAAATAATAATTAGTTAGAACCTTACTTTTGTTGTGACCCCTACTGACAACAATCCAATCACATCCTTGGATTCATTTTGTAATCGTGAACATACAACAACAAGCAGGAAGATGGAAACATTCACATTACTTTAAACTGAACAAATAAAACTGGATTTTAATCATGGACAGCTGCAGGTTATCAGCGACAAAGCAACTGAATATGTGGTGGAGGAAAGGTTTGACTCTCCGTCTTCCATCCTCGGGAGGTTGCACACAGGCAACAGAAGACCAGCAGGTATAAATAAATTGCAAGTTGTTTAAAAGATTGTGTCTCATCAGTGGTTTGAGCAGGTGTGGTTTTAATCCAGTCTGTAATGTTTATGGATTCAGGCTACAGAACAAGAACATTTACTCTATTCATCCCCAATGGGGAAGATATATGTGATATATTTAGCGGCACTTACCGAGCTATTACCCTGACATTCTCACAGAGGGGAAGTCTGAATTTTGGAAAGAAAGGACGCAGTGTAACTAATTACTATTGACAGTAATAAGTAAAGCGGAGAAGTAAACAAAAGCAGGCTTCTTATTTATAGCAAATGAGTTC